TGTTTTTGGTAATTTTTTTAATAAATCATCAATTTAAAGGTTAGTATGAGGTATATAAATTAAATTTTCTTATAATTGAACAATTTAAAAGAATGTATATTGATTTGGGAACTATGTGGTAGACAATGTTAATGGTTTAGCAACCAAAGGTTCTAACATGTTATGTCTTTTAGAGTTAGATTCTTAGGGTTAGATTCTACATTTAGAATCATTTTGTTTTAATGATTCAAAATTGCATATTTAATGTTGAGTAGTTTATATTTTGTATATATGATATTTGGTACAATGACTAAGATTTTTTTTTATAATCAATCAAACATTTAGGGTTTGAGATTTGGGGTTTAGGGTTTGAGATTTCTGGTTTAGGTTTTAGTAGACTTATAGTTAAGTCTACTGATATGTAGACGTCTATTTCAGTCTACGTTAATTTGTGTTTACCAAAATAAATTATTTTAAAATTAAAATTAACTAAGCGGGAAATGAAAATGAATTTTGGAGCCTATTTTTCCATATTGGCGCCAATATTTAGGGTATAGTAGATTTACAGTAAAGTCTACTTATATGTGACTGAAATCAGATGTGTAGTGCCCATTAATCAATGTCAAGTCCTGTGTACCATACTCTTAGTTTAGTTATGGTCATTTTTTCCCATATTATTCTGATTTGTTTTGTTGAATCTGACTTCTTTTGTTTTGTTTTCTGTAGATTAACCTCCATTCTTTGTTGATAGGACATGAAGAGTGGAAGAAGACCTTGAGTCTTTGAAGAAGTTTACGGTGGAAGAAGAAGATGAAGCTGCTGGAGTCTTCAATTTTTTTAGGTTTAGAATTTTTTAAAGATTTGGTTTGGTGTAAACCAAGTTGGGGAAATTGTGGTGGTTTGAGTTTAATTTCTAATTATTGGTTTAGTTTTGTAAACTAGTTTTAATTTATAAATAAAATTTATTAGTATTCTTTCTTGTAGACTTACAAAGAAGTCTACTTGACAGAGAAAAATATAACATAAGTTTATCACATTAGACAACATCTAAAGCAACAATATAGTTTATAAGTTCAACACAGACTAAAGACTTACAAATCCAATAGAAGACAACTCAAAGCAATGAGACACTAATACATAATAGAACATCCATAGCAATAAGAAAACTCATAAGTTCGACACATAACACTAACACATCTAGAGTTTTTCACCACCCATTCTCTGTATACAATGAGTAATTGAGACATCTCCTGCAAAAAAAAAATACGGTTTACATAATTAGTAAACAAAAGTTTCATGTTTGATAAAATTATAAAATAGACTTACAAGTACATGTACAATTATTAGCAAACAATATAGTTAAACCAAAAATTATATCATAGACTTACAAGTACGTCTACAAATTTTAAGCTAACAACATAGACAAACAAAAAATTTGATAACTTCCTAATTATAACAGATTATCTTCTGAAAATCATTCAAGACCCTTCTGATTAACTAACACACACTTTCATAAAAAAAAGTTTTGAAAAAA